GAGTTACCTTTTTATGCAGAGTTCCCCATCATCAAAGTCCCCTCTTGAGTATTCTTGAATTGGTGGCAAAGTGATGTCTTAATGTCTGAGAGCAAAGTTCCCTGGCTAGGTTTTTTTATACTCCTGGTCATGCATTTCTAACAGTTGCAAAGAATCCTGTCTTCAAATGCAGCTGGAGAAGGGTTTGGAGGGAGGGGATCTTCATTAACTTTCTTTCCAAAGGTAACATCACACCATAGTTGGGGGCAGGACCAACCCTCTGAGTGAGCGTAACATCCTGCCTAGCTTCCTTTCCTCCACTGTGCTAGAAGGCTTATATTAGATGTAGAAATACACTGCTCCACCAGCAGAGTGCTGTGCTCAGTCAGCACACAGAGATGTGACAACTACAGCAGGTATGAGATGGGTTCACACTGTTTCTAGGATTATAAATAAATTCAGGTATTATACCAATTACATTATTTGCTTCTGAATTGCTGCCTCTGTTGCAGCTGCAGTTCAACAACCTAATCATAACATTTTTCACAGCTGTTATTTGTTAGCGATTTTTGCACAATGTTTTCCCCAGGGTAGCTGTCCAAACACATAAAAACAAAAACTACATGAACCCTCCCTCATCTATAACACACCAACTTCCCACCACCATCTACCACGGCAGCAATGAAACACAAAACAGAGCATGAGTCTTTTGTGATTACTAATGTATTCCATCTTTCAACAAGAAAGGCATGATCTTAATATTATTTAACAATATGTTAAAAAATCAGCCAATAGGCTTCAGCGTTAATACAGTTATACAGTTTTACTGATTTGATATGCAAGTACTCATTTGCTAAACTTCCTCTTGCAAGTATTTTTACACAAGCTGGCTACAAATTGGGAATCAAAACACAAATTGCTTAACTTGTACATTCTCAACAGTAGATTGTGAAAAACAAAAGTAAATGCTTGTCCCAAAAGAGGAATTTTCTCTATGACAATTTCTTTAAAGAAGTTTATAAGGAAAGAGCAAAACTAGTTGGATTCATTGCTCTGTTTAAAGGACAAGTCATAGCAAAATGGGAAAAGCCAAGGTATCTCCAGAAACTGGAAACATGCTGTTGTTCCAATTCCAGCAACTGCAGACTATAGTCAGATAAGTCTCATTCACAGACTTCAATCACAGAAACTAACATATGTAGTTAGAAAGCAGCAATTCTGCAGCCTTCTAGCATAATCAGGGAAAAGGCTAGATGACCAGTGAAGATCCACACAGCACTGCTAATGAAGGTATTTGTCTCAAGGCCACAGCAGTTCTCAGCACAGGGAGTGCAGTTAGTAATTAGATCCCACAACATTCATATCCATGTTGTGTCCTTTAGTGGACAGCAAAGGTAGCTTTCTTCAAGCTAAAGTTGGACCAATTGATGGAAAGTCTTTGCCTTGTCTGTCTGGCAGAATCCAAGCAGAATCTGTAAAGAAAACAGGTGTAAAGGAAATCTAATACACACCAAGGAAGTATACCGTATTTTTCGCTCTATAACATGCTCCCAACCATAACACGCACATAGTTTTTAGAGGAGGAAAACAAGAAAAAAAAATATTCTAAACGAAACAGTGGATGTATGATTTTTGTGGTTCATGCTGTGGCCACAGACATGTGATCTGACGGTGAGTTTGGGGTAGCCCAATGCAAAGATCCTGAGGATCCATGTGGAGCCGTGCTTTGTAACCACGTTTTTGCACCACTGCGGCCCCAGGCAACAGTGGGTGCGTGATTTTTTTGGTGCAAGCTGTAGCCATGGACATGCTATGTGATCTGATGGTGAATTTGGGGTGACCCAGTGCAAAAATCCTAAGGATCCATGTGGATCCGTGCTTTGTAACCACGTGAATGAAGGAACTGTCAGTAATGTATGGTATCTCCAATACAGTGATGAAGGAAGGGGGGGGGGAGCTCACACTTGTCCTAGGCAAAGCAGCCAACTCCTATAGGCCTAGGTGCCTTCACCCCCCCCATTAAATATTTGAGGGAGTCATCCTCCCCCCATGCTGATGGGCATTGCCATTCATATAAGGTACCAGTGTGCATGCACTTTGTCTTGAGATCATTGCAGTCTGTGAGATGGGGCTTACCTGTACCTGGCCCCAATATTTTATTGAAGTTGGAAGAGGGAGGGAGGGAGGGAAGAGAGATGGAGAGCTCACATTTGTCCTAGGCAAAGCAGCCAACTCCTATGGGCCTAGGTGCCTTCACCCCCCATTAAATATTTGAGGGAGTCATCCCCCACCCCCCATTGTGGTATGTGAGTGGGGCTTACCTGGCTGTCCCCCCAATATTGGAAGAGGGAGGGAGGGAGGGAAGGAAGAGAGAGGGGGAACTCACATTTGTGCAGCTGCCTTGCCTCGAACCGGAGCAAAAAGAGGAGGAGGAGACTCAGGGACACGAGCCTTGTAAGCCGCTTTGTTTGAATTTACCGGTGAGGTGCTGGGGGAGGGACGGAAGGGGATGCCCTCTTTGTCCCTCCTTCCGGCTCATTGTAAAGAAAGCAGAGTAAGAGCCGCTGACATTTGTGTAAGGGAGAGCCATAGAGCAGGCAGACACTGAGAAAGAGAGGCTGTCTCCCTGTCCCCACCTTGGCTTTTGCACGCTGCGCGCAGCTCTTGCCGGCTTCCGAGCTGCCTCCCTTCTCCCACCTCGCCAAAAAGCCATAGAGCAGGCAGACAGGAGGAAGAGAGGCTGTCTCCCGACACTCAGCTGTTGCTCAGCTGTTGCCGGCTTCTCAGCAAGCCAAGCGGAGGAAGAGAGGCTGCCGAACAGCCAGCAAGAGCGGCTCCTCCTGCCTGCATTCGCTCCATAACGCGCACACACATTTCCCTTTACCTTTTAGGGGGGAAAAACTGAGTGTTATGGTGCGAAAAGTATGGTATATCATCATGTCTACATTACAATTTCCTTTGATAATTATTAGATTTCTAATTACTAGCTATATAAAATGTACCTTGTTAATACTTGAGCAGAGTTGCTTAAACTTCAGCTAAAAGAGAGTGCATTAACACCCACCCTAGGGTGGAAGAAGGCTGAATGATTTGACATGATAACGAATGTTGTATTTTATATATATATATATATATATATATATATATTAAGTAAATAATTCTTTTAAAGTCAAAATTGCTATTCACAGTGGGGTAAGGTTTAAAGATACCTTTGTCTGCATTTTGCAATGAGCGAATGTGGCAAGTCAGTAAGCAGAGCCAATGCTTCTGGCCCCTCAGCTCTGGGTCATTTCAAATAACAGCTGCTATTAAAATGTGTTGCTGACTGAGACTTAGAGGCTATGAACCAATGTTTAATCTCATTTGATTGTGCTAAAACAGGGATGGGGAACTTGTGGCCCTCCACTTCAGCTCCAATCAGGCCCTGCTAGCAAAGCAAGTGGGAGTTGAACTCCAGCCACATGTGGAGAGCCACGGGCTCCCAATGCCTGGGCTGAGAGGCCCCAAGGGTGGCACTAACGTGAAAATGATGACCCCCCATATTGGAATTTGATCTCAGTTCTACAGCTGACTTTATTAACCCTGCTAACAGTGCCTGATGACCAGTGCTCATTTTAAAGTCTTTGGAACCTAAACATTGGTGCAACTATGCATGCATTTTTATACATGGAGCAGAGTTCAATGCCTCAGTCCCAATGATTAAGCTTACAATGTTTAGATGCAGTACTATTTGGGTACAACTTCAAATCCCTACTCTGCTTTCTGCTTGGACAAATCATGCTTTCAGTATACCTACCTCATAAATGTGTTGTGAAAAAAACATATATCAAGAAGGTGCATGGTCTTACACATGTGGGATAAACATATTTGTATTTTTCGATTCAGCCAGATTTAGTATTACAGAAATGGAAAGACTGAACAATACAGCAGTGGGCATATGCGGCCACCCTCTCATTTGCTGTAATATATAAAAGTAGTTACTAGGGTAGGTTTCTGCTTTGTGAGTTTTAGTTTGTCCATTCTCTGTTTCTGCAGAGGTGCTGTATAACAGTGCAGAGAACTGAAGTTATGGGCTGCTTGTGAATAAAGTGTGCTTTGTAGTTAAAAGCACACATGTATAAGCCTTTCACAGAAAGTAAGAAGGGGAGCATTTTTATTTTATGAGTCCTTCTAGCTGCTTTGAAAAGAAGGCTGCTACACTGGAAACTTGTGCACAGTTTCATCAGTGACAGCAAATCTGGGAAGACTCCTAAGAGATACTGACCCACTTTTAAAAATAAAATGCTACTAAATGCTACTAACAAAATAACAGTTGAAAATAAAAAGAAAGCACTCAGCAATGGTGGATATGTATTATAATGAGAAGTCTTAATCTGTTGAAAGTCAGAAGGGAAAACTTTCAATATGTTGAACAATATTTTTAGCCTAATTCTAAGTGAATTAGTAGAATAATCTAAATTGAAATAAGGTCTGAGACGACTATAACAGCTTGTGGCATCTCAGATGTTAAAAAAGAGACACTGTGCTTTTTTTTAAAAAAAAAAGTGGGGATTTTGATGTCAGTCTGCATCTATTTTGGCCTTCAACTTGATTTCTATGTTTTTATTGTTAAATCGATCAAGGATGTTTCATGGAAAGTGATTCATAAATAAAATAAAATAAATGAATAATAAAATTGACTTCAAACTCTTTACTGGTCAAGCATTTAATGTCTGTTTTTGTCAGGGAAGCAAGTATCTATTTATATATTAGAAGGGTGTGTTGCATGCATGTATTCATGTACCCATGTGTGGGTGGCTGAGAGGTAGTGGGGGCTGGATGGTGAAGAGATGGGCCTCATGGATGCATGAATAAGAGGAACGGCTACACTGATGGATGGAGTATGACATGGAATCATAGAACTGCAGAGTTGAAATGCACC